GAAAAAACGGGTTTCGTTTTTTTTTGGAAATTCGCGATTTCAGTTTTTGACAAAAATTGGAATTTTTTCTTTTGGTTTTTTCGCTGTAACTTGGCCAAAAATGGTCCTACACTAAAAATTCATACTGTTTTGAACAGATAACAAAATTTGCTATAAATTCATAAAACTTTCCGTGTAATTTTGGAAAAATAAAATTTTCGCCAATTTTTAATTTTTTTATAAGGGGGTACCCCATGATTTTTTGCGAAAAATTAAAAATGAATAAATTGTCAAGGTTTAAATGCCAATCGTTAGGAAATTTAATAACGAGTTCAGAAAGGTATGGCAATCCATACTTTGAATCAGTATTTGCTTTGTTATAGCGAAAAAACTGCAACGTTATAGCGAAAAAACGGGTTTTGTTTTTTTGGAAATTCGCGATTTCAGTTTTTGACAAAAATTGGAATTTTTTCTTTTGGTTTTTTTGCTGTAACTTGGCCAAAAATGGTCCTACACCAAAAATTCATACTGTTTTGAACAGATAACAAAATTTGCTATAAATTCATAAAACTTTCCGTGTAATTTTGGAAAAATAAAATTTTCGCCAATTTTTAATTTTTTTATAAGGGGGTACCCCATGATTTTTTGCGAAAAATTAAAAATGAATAAATTGTCAAGGTTTAAATGCCAATCGTTAGGAAATTTAATAACGAGTTCAGAAAGGTATGACAATCCATACTTTGAATCAGTATTTGCTTTGTTATAGCGAAAAAACTGCAACGTTATAGCGAAAAAACGGGTTTCGTTTTTTTTGGAAATTCGCGATTTCAGTTTTTGACAAAAATTGGAATTTTTTCTTTTGGTTTTTTCGCTGTAACTTGGCCAAAAATGGTCCTACGCCAAAAATTCATACTGTTTTGAACATATAACAAAATTTGCTATAAATTCATAAAACTTTCCGTGTAATTTTGGAAAAATAAAATTTTCGCTAATTTTAAATTTTTTTATAAGGGGGTACCCCATGATTTTTTGCGAAAAATTAAAAATGAATAAATTGTCAAGGTTTAAATGCCAATCGTTAGGAAATTTAATAACGAGTTCAGAAAGGTATGACAATCCATACTTTGAATCAGTATTTGCTTTGTTATAGCGAAAAAACTGCAACGTTATAGCGAAAAAACGGGTTTCGTTTTTTTTGGAAATTCGCGATTTCAGTTTTTGACAAAAATTGGAATTTTTTCTTTTGGTTTTTTCGCTGTAACTTGGCCAAAAATGGTCCTACACTAAAAATTCATACTGTTTTGAACATATAACAAAATTTGCTATAAATTCATAAAACTTTCCGTGTAATTTTGGAAAAATAAAATTTTCGCTAATTTTAAATTTTTTTATAAGGGGGTACCCCATGATTTTTTGCGAAAAATTAAAAATGAATAAATTGTCTAGGTTTAAATGCCAATCGTTAGGAAATTTAATAACGAGTTCAGAAAGGTATGACAATCCATACTTTGAATCAGTATTTGCTTTGTTATAGCGAAAAAACTGCAACGTTATAGCGAAAAAACGGGTTTCGTTTTTTTTTGGAAATTCGCGATTTCAGTTTTTGACAAAAATTGGAATTTTTTCTTTTGGTTTTTTTGCTGTAACTTGGCCAAAAATGGTCCTACACCAAAAATGCATACTGTTTTGAACAGATAACAAAATTTGCTATAAATTCATAAAACTTTCCGTGTAATTTTGGAAAAATAAAATTTTCGCCAATTTTTAATTTTTTTATAAGGGGGGTACCCCATGATTTTTTGCGAAAAATTAAAAATGAATAAATTGTCAAGGTTTAAATGCCAATCGTTAGGAAATTTAATAACGAGTTCAGAAAGGTATGACAATCCATACTTTGAATCAGTATTTGCTTTGTTATAGCGAAAAAACTGCAACGTTATAGCGAAAAAACGGGTTTCGTTTTTTTTTGGAAATTCGCGATTTCAGTTTTTGACAAAAATTGGAATTTTTTCTTTTGGTTTTTTCGCTGTAACTTGGCCAAAAATGGTCCTACACTAAAAATTCATACTGTTTTGAACAGATAACAAAATTTGCTATAAATTCATAAAACTTTCCGTGTAATTTTGGAAAAATAAAATTTTCGCCAATTTTTAATTTTTTTATAAGGGGGTACCCCATGATTTTTTGCGAAAAATTAAAAATGAATAAATTGTCAAGGTTTAAATGCCAATCGTTAGGAAATTTAATAACGAGTTCAGAAAGGTATGGCAATCCATACTTTGAATCAGTATTTGCTTTGTTATAGCGAAAAAACTGCAACGTTATAGCGAAAAAACGGGTTTCGTTTTTTTTGGAAATTCGCGATTTCAGTTTTTGACAAAAATTGGAATTTTTTCTTTTGGTTTTTTTGCTGTAACTTGGCCAAAAATGGTCCTACACCAAAAAGTCATACTGTTTTGAACAGATAACAAAATTTGCTATAAATTCATAAAACTTTCCGTGTAATTTAGGAAAAATAAAATTTTCGCCAATTTTTAATTTTTTTATAAGGGGGTACCCCATGATTTTTTGCGAAAAATTAAAAATGAATAAATTGTCAAGGTTTAAATGGCAATCGTTAGGAAATTTAATAACGAGTTCAGAAAGGTATGACAATCCATACTTTGAATCAGTATTTGCTTTGTTATAGCGAAAAAACTGCAACGTTATAGCGAAAAAACGGGTTTCGTTTTTTTTTGGAAATTCGCGATTTCAGTTTTTGACAAAAATTGGAATTTTTTCTTTTGGTTTTTTTGCTGTAACTTGGCCAAAAATGGTCCTACGCCAAAAATTCATACTGTTTTGAACAGATAACAAAATTTGCTATAAATTCATAAAACTTTCCGTGTAATTTTAGAAAAATAAAATTTTCGCTAATTTTAAATTTTTTTATAAGGGGGTACCCCATGATTTTTTGCGAAAAATTAAAAATGAATAAATTGTCAAGGTTTAAATGCCAATCGTTAGGAAATTTAATAACGAGTTCAGAAAGGTATGACAATCCATACTTTGAATCAGTATTTGCTTTGTTATAGCGAAAAAACTGCAACGTTATAGCGAAAAAACGGGTTTCGTTTTTTTTTGGAAATTCGCGATTTCAGTTTTTGACAAAAATTGGAATTTTTTCTTTTGGTTTTTTTGCTGTAACTTGGCCAAAAATGGTCCTACACCAAAAATGCATACTGTTTTGAACAGATAACAAAATTTGCTATAAATTCATAAAACTTTCCGTGTAATTTTGGAAAAATAAAATTTTCGCCAATTTTTAATTTTTTTATAAGGGGGTACCCCATGATTTTTTGCGAAAAATTAAAAATGAATAAATTGTCAAGGTTTAAATGCCAATCGTTAGGAAATTTAATAACGAGTTCAGAAAGGTATGACAATCCATACTTTGAATCAGTATTTGCTTTGTTATAGCGAAAAAACTGCAACGTTATAGCGAAAAAACGGGTTTCGTTTTTTTTTGGAAATTCGCGATTTCAGTTTTTGACAAAAATTGGAATTTTTTCTTTTGGTTTTTTTGCTGTAACTTGGCCAAAAATGGTCCTACACCAAAAATTCATACTGTTTTGAACAGATAACAAAATTTGCTATAAATTCATAAAACTTTCCGTGTAATTTTGGAAAAATAAAATTTTCGCCAATTTTTAATTTTTTTATAAGGGGGTACCCCATGATTTTTTGCGAAAAATTAAAAATGAATAAATTGTCAAGGTTTAAATGCCAATCGTTAGGAAATTTAATAACGAGTTCAGAAAGGTATGGCAATCCATACTTTGAATCAGTATTTGCTTTGTTATAGCGAAAAAACTGCAACGTTATAGCGAAAAAACGGGTTTCGTTTTTTTTTGGAAATTCGCGATTTCAGTTTTTGACAAAAATTGGAATTTTTTCTTTTGGGTTTTTTTGCTGTAACTTGGCCAAAAATGGTCCTACACTAAAAATTCATACTGTTTTGAACAGATAACAAAATTTGCTATAAATTCATAAAACTTTCCGTGTAATTTTGGAAAAATAAAATTTTCGCCAATTTTTAATTTTTTTATAAGGGGGTACCCCATGATTTTTTGCGAAAAATTAAAAACGTCTAGGTTTAAATGCCAATCGAAAGGAAATTTAATAAGGAGTTCAAAAAGGTATGACAATCCATACTTTGAATCAGTATTTGCTTTGTTATAGCGAAAAAACTGCAACGTTATAGCGAAAAAACGGGTTTCGTTTTTTTTTGGAAATTCGCGATTTCAGTTTTTGACAAAAATTGGAATTTTTTCTTTTGGGTTTTTTTGCTGTAACTTGGCCAAAAATGGTCCTACACTAAAAATTCATACTGTTTTGAACAGATAACAAAATTTGCTATAAATTCATAAAACTTTCCGTGTAATTTTGGAAAAATAAAATTTTCGCCAATTTTTAATTTTTTTATAAGGGGGTACCCCATGATTTTTTGCGAAAAATTAAAAACGTCTAGGTTTAAATGCCAATCGAAAGGAAATTTAATAAGGAGTTCAAAAAGGTATGACAATCCATACTTTGAATCAGTAGTTTTTTTGTTATAGCGAAAAAACTTCTTTGTTTCAGCGAGAAACCCGTTTCGTTTTTTTTTTTCAAAACTCGAGATTTTTTTTGCCAAAATGATATGAAAAAAAAATAAAATGTCTAGATTTTAATGCAAATAGATTCATAATAAAGCTACGAGTTTAACAAGGTATGACATTCCATATTTGGGGTATTATTTCCTATGTTTCGGCAAAAAACTGACATTTTAGGGTGGAAAATAAGGATTCGAGTTTTAGACAAAAACAAACTTTTTCATCAGTTTTTCAGCTGTTATCTGGACAAATCAAGGCCAATTATGATAAATCTGAATCCCATTTTAGATTGTAATTGTATACTTTTAAAAAGAGTTGTATCTCCATGAATATTATGTATTTATTGATAAACATACTTGTTTTAACAGCAAATAAAACCTAGTCCCGTTTTCTACCATTTTGTAAAGCTTACGTTATTAAATAATGGCAAAGCTGAAAACTAGTTATTTGTCTTTCTTAGATCTTTGCCTTTCACATTTTCCTAAAACTAAATTCGCCCTACTCCGATTTACCTGCATTTCCATTTTCATTCACACTTAAGCTACGATTTAGGCTAGTAAAAAAAAAACAAACAAAAAGGGTATGTACGTATCTAGGGAATCACAAAGAGTCGGGACAATCCGGGCGATTGGATCGCATCAGTCTGCGCCCCACGTTGGGCGCCACATAGTCAGCGCTCCTCGCTGCTGCTCCCATCGCCGCCGATGAAGTCGTCCCGCAGTCCGCCCCTGTGCTCGTAGTTGTGGTGGTGGTGGATGTGCTCCTCCTCCTCCTCGAGTTCCGGCAGAGCAGGTGGCGCCACCGACGGCGGAAGTGGGTGGTGGTGCTCGTGATGGTCATGATGGTCGTGATGGTCGTGGTGGTCGTGCTTCTCGTGGTGGTGAATGTGCTCCTTGGTCTGGTGGATCTGGATGGGTCGATGGTCCTCGTGGATCACCTTCTTCTCCTCCTTCAGAACGAGCGGTTTGTGGTGGTGGTGGACGTGCTTCACAACCGTGTGTATGTGCTTCTCGATCTTCTTGTGAATGGGCACGTGGATCACGATTTTCTTCTTTTTCTGGTGGCTCCTGAAAAGGAATGGCAAATAAATTATATTTCGATCAAATATTGTAAAAATATTATGATATTCTTATATTTATTTTTAAGCGATATGATTTAGATTATTTGTTTGAGTTCTTAAGTCCAAAAAAGCTTGTTATTTTTAAGTAATTCCATAGTAATCCATACCCCGCTTCCGTTTCCGGGACGCAGACGAACAGCAAGACCAGCGCCACCACAATCGAGAGCCTCAGCAGCTGCAAAAAAAAGATTCCCCATTTGTTTCAGTGTAATCCTCGTGTGATCCTGGGCTCAAATCTCACCAAACTGCGGTTATCCATATCGCTTGGCTAGAGATCCAGGTCCAGGTGCTGAGGTGTTGAAGGCTCCGACGGTGCGGCTGCTTTGATTGCTGCCCCACTGCGACCATTTTATTTATACAGGCCCACGGAATGCGGTGGATATAATGGAGTATAATGGAATACCCCGGCGCCAGTTGTTGGCGCTTCCGTGACGCAGTCCATCGAAAATATGGGCAGAGCTATGGGTTTTGGGTTTGGTTTGGCTGGCTTTGCTTTGGTGGAGCCGCATTTGATAGAGCCTCTGCGCACGCGCCGCAAACAAAAAACAGAGCTGGCTGCTCAGTGGAAAACCAGCAATTTTCATTCATTTCGGATGGCAGCGATCATCGTGTCATGGCTTGTGGGTGGTTTTTTAGCCAGGTGAGGACTAGACGGTGCCGGATCGTACTCTACACAAAGGCCCAAATTAGCCCTAATTTGTGAAATATACACGGTGAAAAAATTACTAAAAGATAAATCATAAAATCAAAAAAACAAAATTAAAATCTCAACATTTAAATTATTTTGTAAAGATTTATTATAAAAACATATTTCTTCTGGACTTTCCGGGTTTGCCTTTATCAATATAATTTATTTCCAACATCGAGGCTTCGTGTCATTTTTAAGCATCTTCAATCGGATAAATGCGATCCCCTGACTTCAGATTTTCCCCCAATTTGCAGGGCATGGGAGCTTCGTCCCCATTGATCGGACTACCATTGTATTTCTCTTTGTTTTTCCGTTTTTCCATTTTGTTTCGGCTGTGTGTGAACTTCTTCTAAAGTTTTGCTTTTATTTTTCAGCAGCTCACGCAGACGGAAGGCACGGAAAACTGCGCCCGAAACTGAGGCTCTAAAAGCTAAAGACCCAAACTCAGTCAACGGAAATAGCAGGAGTGCAGCGTGTGTTTAATACCCACATAGATATGTTGCATGGCCGCCCAGCCCCTGGATTTCGAGTCCCCGCCCAGTGCCCCCCGCTTAACTTAAGTATAAGTACATGGCACGTAACGCGAGAAATAGAGAAATACGTTACAAATAGATCGCATGCACATGGCGCATATTTGTATTATACTCAAATATATTATGCAATCGTACAGGCGATTTGCCAGTTTTGCGGGTGTTATTTAATTGCGAATTGCGCTTTTATTAGTTATTTTATTCGTTTTCAAATGCGATCACTGTTAGAATGTGGAGGCCTATCGATATCGATAGCAGTCATCGGGGTTCCAAGCTCCAAGCCCCAAGGAGAAGAAGAAGCAGCGGTGAAGAAGAGGAAAAGAGCAAAGCGAAAAGAACAGAGAACAGCGATAATAGCGGCACAGTGGGTTATATCACTGATTAAGATAGCTGAAATGTAACCTTTTAAATATTTTATTTATCTTTTTATATTTATTTAATTTAACTTTATTATAAGATCCCAAGTCGTATTTATTTTATTTTAAAAAGTTAACATCCTTATGTTATACCCAAGCTCTTACAAAAAGTATAATATTTCGAAGCTAATATAACTATAATGGTATCTTATTTGTTTATCTTAATCGTATCGTATTGTATCGTTTAATATCTTTAATTCATGATATATTTCAATATAAAAAACAATTTATTAATCGATTAGGAAGTATAAACTTTGTAGCTAGAATTTGTTCTCGTGATGCCCACTGTGCGCAGACTGGCTGAGTGTACGAGCGAGTGTGTGTGTGTGTGCGCGCCCCCCAATCGAAATCTTTTTTTAGTATTGAAAGAACAGTCGGGCAAGAAAGTTGGGGCGCAGCAAAATCGAGCCAGACAAAGTAAATAACTTAATAACGGCATACATATAGACAGTATATTCCATTCCGAATCGGTGAATTATTTGTTGACGAACACTTGTCCGCCGTGTTTTCCTTTAGTTTCAGTTACATAGTTATTTTCCATTTATTTTCCATTTATTTTATGTTTTTGTTGTGGTGCCTGTGTGTGTGTGTCTGTGAACCAATTGTTGCTGCTGCGAGAGTATTGGTGTCGTGATTAATAAATTCCCAGTGACAAAGCCCAAAAAAGCAGTAAATGTGCAACAATAAAGCTTCAAGCTCAAGAAGAGATCACGTTCGGGAGATTTGCTGGTTTTTCTCCGAGTGGAGATTTCGATTTTAAGTTTGCGTTTCAGTGTGCGTGCATGCGATCATTTATCCCAATGGGCAGCAGCTCCCATTTCCCAATTGGAGCCCCCTGGGAACAGTTCTGTGCGATCGGAAACCCAAACCCAGGAGCACTTGTAGCGCTTCTGATAAGAAACTGCCTCGATCAACCTGTTCCACCTGGACTTGTGTGTGTGTGTGTGTGTTGGTGCAACAATTTGCTAGAATTTGTTAGCCTTAAATGGCAACAAGCCAGAAACAAAAGTCAATAAACCCCAGCCCACATCTCAAAAACTATAAACTATTTCGAACCGGGCGTTGAGAATGGCGAAAATCAATCGAAAGCAAAATTCCATAAGTGGCGGACGTACATCACACATCACAAGTGTTCCCATATATTTAGATATATATATTTAGATATTCCTCTGGCAGTGAGTGTGTGTGTGCATTGCAGGTTCTAAAGATCTAAAGATCCAGAAATACTTCGGGTTTCTAAGTTTCTGGAGGGTGGGTCGAAGGGGGAGGGGGAGGGGTAGACCTGTTTCCATACCCCCAACCCAAAAATGGAACCTCCCACGCACGAAATATCCAGATACCCAGTTCACCTCCGTCGAGGAAGTCGTATTTTCAATGTCTTTGGCGCGGATTTCGCTTTCCCATTTTCCGCATTTTCCATTACCACTTACCACTCACCTCTTACCACTTTCCACCGTTTAGCGCTTACCACCTTTTGCCGTAAATCATGGCCAATTAAGGTCCGCACCCTTGGCCAGTTAGTGCGTCACTATAGCCAGTTCCATTTCCATTTCCAATCCGATACCCAATATCGACATCCCCCAAAAGTCTGGCGAGTGACCTCACGAGATGCGTCATCGTTATTAAAGCGAAAGCCAAAACAAGCAAAACTGAATCAACAGAACAGAGCTGAAAAATAACAACAGAAAACACAAAAAAAAAAATAGCGGAAACTTCGGGCGATAAGTTATTCAGGCGAAAAACCCGAACCCTTGGGAACTCACTGGTATTTCTAAAAAGAGGGGGAAGTGCTTCTGGGAAAAGGTTTGCCCAAACACCAAAGAAAAAGTGCTTGAAATCTGAAGATTGTCTTCTGATATATCTTTCGTAAGATATCCCATAAAACTAGTACTTTACTGCAGTCTATAAACCATATTTCTTATGAGATGTTCTGTAAAATATTGAACAAATCGTTTGGAATATGAATTGATCAATTGATCAATGCTATTTTTACATCAATTTACTGAGCTTCACCATGGCATGCAAGTTAATTGAAGCTTTGTTTTTGCTTGAATGCCTTAAACGGATATTTTGTGCCTGAATAAATCCATGATCAGTTATAATTTGCTGTGAAGTCATATCATTTTATAACGTGCCGTGAGCCAGGGTTGTGAAATATGGTTACTTTCGAATGGAAACTAGAACAGCACTGATTATTACTCTTATCTGAGAACTCAGATGGAATTCGGAGAGATAACCCCCTGAGATGTTTGTGGTTCGTCTTGTGCCCATTTAAATGTATTCCGTTTTCTTTTTTCTTTCAGTTAACTAGAGATCTGGCCCACAAGAAAAAGAAAGAGAGAGAGAGAGAGAGGAAAGTGAGATAAACAAACTGAAAAAGAAGGAAGCGCCAAAGCAAAAGAAATCAAAATGCCCGTCTTCCACACAAAAACCATCGAGAGCATTCTAGATCCTGTCGCCCAGCAGGTAAGATATCATTACGAAATGGGTAGAGCCTTTGGGGTTCGGGATTTTGTCTCAAGTAAATCTTTCGTCCGCATAGCTCTAACTAGTAAGCAAATTGGCGCCCAGGAAGGTAACGTTCCATGGTTATTAAAACGTTGATTAAAAGGATAAATATACACTCTGGAAAAATACTTAAGAAATTGGAATATTTATACAAATTATTAAAACCTTTTAAAATATAAAAAATACACTATATTTGATCTAAAGTTAGAAAGCTAAGATTAAGTTCGATGACTCCTATTTCGATTTTTTTTTTCATTTAAACCTACTGATGTTTCCCCAGTGTATGTTTACGTGGTAGAAGAAACACCCATAGTTGTGAGTTTATACCACCGACTCCACTTTCCCTTTTCCCCACCGAAACGATTACTGATCGATTACTGATCGATCACTGATCGATCACTGATCACTCATCGGCAGCTGTAGCCGTAGCTCCCATTCAAAACTCGCACCTGACATCATCCAACTGCATCTGTGTGGCATGTGTTGGGTGTTATGCTAGGCTATATACGTAGGCCCCTCGGATTCGGATTCGATCGCCCCCTCAATGTATATCCATTCATTTATGTGCGCTTTCCATCACGAGAAGAAACAAACTCGCGGAGAGGCGGTGATCAGCGATCAGTTGTTGTTTTCAGGTTTTCTTGTTTTGCTTTTTTTTGGTGTTACTTAACGGGTCTAAAAATAAATGAGGTAGAAATAATAAGAATAAATGTTGATCAGAGGCCAGCGGCCAACCTGAGCTTCTGAGGACAGGCAGAATTTTAATTTAATAACGTGAACGCAACAAATGAAAATGAAAAATCAGGCGGAGCAAAGAAAACAAATCAGGGATGGGGGGCTCCTTCGTTCGTTGTTTTTTTTCTGGCCGAGTTCCAAAAATAGCAGCATAAAATACGTTTAGTAAAGTCCAACAGCATCGGCGAGAGGAAGCAACCAAAATAAAAACATTTACGACGGACAAGCCATGAAAATGAAATCATGGCAAAGCAAAAGCAAAAGCATAATGCCAAGAGGTGAGGAAAGCAGAAGGTGTGGGAGTAGTAGGTGTAGGTATACCCATAACTACACCTATACCTATTCCTACACCCATACGAAGGCATCCATCCATCGGATGCGGATGCGGATGAGTGAGGACTGGGGTCTGGGGTCTGAAAACTGTGCCAAAAAGCAAGCC